TTGTTGTTGTTGTTGTTGTTGTTGTTGTTGTTGTTGATATTGCATTAATTATGGTACTATTTTAAGGTGATAATTATCGTTAATATATATGAATGTTATTATTGATTTATTCCAAGCAAATATTTCGAAGATTTAAAACAATAAAATAACTGATCGATCGACCAATTGACTAATCAATCAATTGATATCAGACGGTAAAAATTTTTTTCATTTGTTCATTAATTTTTTCTATTTTTAAAAATTTGCTTTATTAATACTTATAATTGGTGTTGTTATTGTTACAAGTTATTGATATTATTGATTTATTATTATTTATTATTTTAGCATTCAATTAAACAGGAATTGTAAAATGCAAAGGATTGGTTGGTTTGATGCATTTCGAGAAAATGGTGATCCAACTTGGTTTGGTGAAAATAGAACACCAGTAATATTCGATATACAAATTTCTGCATTAGCATCGATATTTATCATACCATTTCTAGCATTTCTAATTATTCTGCCCGGTGTGCGACACTATCGAATTGCATCAACGATTGCATTCGTTCTTAGTGTTACTGTTGGCGCAATTATTTTAAGTATGTTTCAATTTAATTTTTACATAATAATTATTTTATTATGATTGCCAGAAAATATTCCTTTTTTTTTCCCAATTTTGTTTTTGGTTATAAGAAAATGTAATATATTATAATATTTCAAATAGTATGAAATTGCACAATTTAATTAAATTAATTACAATAAGCAAACCTATGGAGTGGCGATTGTTGTGCTAATACAGCTCAATCAAATTAATCAAAATCATGATTTTTTTTATTATTTTTTTCTTTTTCACAGTGATATGTTTACATCAGATATGTTTTTATGAGTAGCCAGTTAATATAAACTAATTAATCTCAATATTTATATGTTTGAATTAAATAGCAATCATAAAATTATTGTAATTGATAGGATGCCATAAATTTATTAATTATTCCATTCATAAAATGCATTTTCCCATTATAAAATATCATTAAAAAAATCATAAAGTACCAATTTTAAATTGAAAAAAATCAAATCTAAAAGTTTTAAAAAAAAAATTGCAAAAAGAAAATTAAAAGTTGTATTTGCTTGTAAAATAATTCAATTTCTTTTTAATCATTTGGTATATTGTATCCGCAGCACTTACAAAAAAGAATGAAATATGAGAAGTATTTCAACAAAATTTTAGAATATTAGTGAACTAATAAGATTTTCAAATATTATAAACATTTTATTCCATTTATATTCATCATTGAAATCTTGTTTTAACCAAAAATTCACTCATCGTTCCATTGTCATATGATAAAGAAAGAAAAGATGTGAGAAAATGATTCTGATCATTTTTACAATAATCAAAATTTTCTCACACGATTTAAAAATTATAATTAAAACTCAGATTTTAAAATCGGTTAAGAGGGTGATATCTAGGATTGCATGATTAAAATTTAATTAAAACTGCTAAAATTAAAACATTATCCATGCCATTGTTGCAGTGATTTTTTCAAATTATAATTTGTACTTAATCTTTTCCTTTTTTTTTGTTTTTTAAAATCTCGTTTTTTGAAAGACAGTTAACTGATTTAAATGAAAAAATAAACTTGAAAAGACTCATAATTTGGTAAGAATTAGTTTCTGCACTTAATTAATATTAATGAAGTAGTAGAGAAGAGAAATAATAGATTTAAAGGAAAGAAATTTTTAGACACTGTTAGGTTTAACATTTGTATTTCAAATTCAATGAATAAGTGTTATTTTAATTTTTTCTAAATTCGTGTTTTTACTTAATTATTGCAATAAATTTAAAATAGGAATGCAAAATTCTTCATATAAATTGAACATTTTATGCTAAAGTTGTTAATTTTTATGTAAAGGAAAAAGGAAGAAACTAGAAAACTTAATCTTTGCCTGCACTGCACACTAACTATATTCATCAGTAAAAAGATTAAGGAAAACTAGAAACAAGCAATACTTACAATACCAAATTTAAAAAAAATATAATTAACAATTCAATTGATTGATAACAAATTTTGAATTTTCATTTTAACTAAATCAAACTTTATCATTAAGTACTTTATAATGTCATAAAAATGACCCAATAAAATTGATCAAAAAAGTAAACAATAATAATTTAGAAGTTTAAAAATTCAATCAATATTTTTTTGTTTTTATAGCATTCTACATTTTATATTTATACTTTAAAAAATTTTTCCTTCTCTTACTAATTTTAATTATGTAATTATTAGCCAAGACGGCTAATCAGAATTTCGCCTTATTTAATAAACCTAATACTATATTTTGTTCCTTCATTATGAAATTTAATTATA